GGACACTAGAGAGAATGCAGCTTTAACACATGAAGCTTTGGATTCACGTTACAGAACTGGAGGTTGCCGCCTGTTTCAACATGTGTTACTCTAAAGATGGTCGGGTTCAAGAGGTTTATTATGTGTCAGCTGTAGTGCATCTCATTATCATTATTGTATATTTTATAGACAGGTAGATGCCAAGATATTTAACTGAATAATCGACCTGCTGGTGGCGCTACATAAAAAGTCATGAGGGTTCATCCTCTGGGGACCACGAACATCTGTCCCTACTTTTCATGGAAATCTATTTAACAGTAGTTGCCATATTTCACTACCAAAGTAAAGACCTTCTGCATTGAACCCCGACAGGCCACAGAGGAGAAGGAGGAGATGGAGGAGCTGCAGGCCTACAACCGCCGTCTGCTCCACAACATCCTGCCCAAAGACGTCGCCGCCCACTTCCTGCAGCGCGAGCGCCGCAACGACGAGCTCTACTACCAGTCGTGCGAGTGCGTGGCGGTCATGTTCGCCAGCATCAGCAACTTCTCCGAGTTCTACGTGGAGCTGGAGGCCAACAACGAGGGCGTGGAGTGTCTGCGGCTGCTCAACGAGATCATCGCCGACTTTGACGAGGTGAGACGGGGACGAAGAGGTGTGCTGGTGGTGCTTCATGGGACTGGCTTTACTCACATAATGACTGTGAAAATAGAGACTTTAAGACAGCTGTAATGTTGTGTGAACACATATGTAATGATACAATATATGAACATGCATTTGGAGTCAGTTTGTTGCCACCTGAAGTTAAATAATCTCTCTCTTTTATCTCTGCTTTGGTCTGCACCGACTCCGGAGAAAAAAGTCTCTTTTCAGCTTTTTTATCCTTTCTGCAGTTTGATGATATTAATATCAAATATACTGATTAAATGCAGGTTTCAGAAATAACTAGAAAAGATCTCCTTAGAGTTGAATCACTCAGTTGTCTCTCTGTTTAAATGCTCGTTGCTACTAATAAACAGAGAGGAAATAAAACATCTATATGCATTTGTTAGAACACGGTTGTTTTTATGGATCTTTAACGTTTTGCTCTCGGTCCACCATCAGATCATCAGTGAGGACCAGTTCCGCCAGCTGGAGAAGATCAAGACCATCGGCTCCACCTACATGGCGGCCTCCGGCCTCAACGACTCCACGTACGACAAGGTTGGCCGCTCGCACATCCGCGCGCTGGCGGACTACGCCATGAGGATGATGGACCAGATGAAGTACATCAACGAGCACTCCTTCAACAACTTCAAGATGAAAATAGGTGATTTTAAAGGACCCGGACACAATGAATACTATTTTATCAACCAGGTTTTGTAGAATAAACACTCACATTTGAGTTTGTTTCCAGCTGGTTTGGTAGTTTATCTACTTTTGTTTATGAATTGTTATACCTTCTCAGGTCTCAACATCGGCCCCGTGGTTGCCGGTGTGATCGGAGCCAGGAAGCCTCAGTACGACATCTGGGGGAACACGGTGAACGTGGCGAGTCGCATGGACAGCACAGGTGTGCCGGAGAGGATCCAGGTGAAGTTCATGTTCTCTCCAAGTGTCACTTCACTTAATAAAGAGCTGTAAATATATATATATATATATATATATATATATATATATATATATA